TGATTTCGTTAGATGATGCCCTGTTCGGCGCAGGACGTAGTGAGTTATAAAACGAGAGATGAAAAGAAATCATTTAAAATAAAGCACAAGTGCAAAAGCTTGCAGCAAGCGAATAAAAATCGCCTGCTGCTAGCCCTTGCCCCCGACGCCGGTCATTTGTACATTGTCAGGAGACTTTGTTTCCCCTTTTGTTATTTTCATATCTTAGAAGCAGAGTTTTTGCAGTGAAAAAATAAAATATTTCGTTTGTTCATTTATTGGTTTACTGATTAATTAATTCATCGGTGTCACTCTTCCTTTTGATCCCTGGACGTGACACTGTTTTCCGGTTCCCGAAATGCGGAACCTTTCGTGAGAGAAACGTTTTGACGCAGTACATCTTAATCATATTAAACGGTAGTTTGAGTGTTGCGTTTGATTGTCAGTAATAAATGAAAACGTAATCTTCTTCCCTGGTGTAATTCTGACAGTAGCCATTTAAGCAAAGTGTCAAAAAATAAGGTGTATTTGAATAACTAACTTGATATAGCAGTTGCGCTGCTACAAAATTTTTTATTTAATATGTTCTGGACCCAAAGACGATGCTAGCATTAGTGGCTCAATACGATGCCCTCTGCCAGCAGTAGGAATGTGAACAGAGGCCATGCGTTCAAAGCCAGGTGAGGGCCAACTAGGGATTTGCATCGTCGCCTTTATTGTTGAATACCAAAGCAAGATTGAGCTAAAAAATGTAGCGAAACCCGGCTCCGAAAAAGCCGCTACATGTTTTTTGTTTTTTTTCGTGTGATATGTTTATTGCAGAAAAAAAGTTTCTTACGAAGGCTTGCCGCAATACAGATACTCGGTAGGGTATACGAGCATAGAATTACCTCACTATACTCATTGCGAAAATGGGAATGCAGGAAGGTCTCTAGGTTGTCACGCCTTCAGCGGGAGCTTCCTACCCGCTCCCTACCTACCTCGGCTTCCCACGCGAAGCCACTGTACGGTTGGTGGCAAATTGCACGTGCTGGGAGTGAAAGCATAGAAAGAAGGCGCCCTACCATCCTTATTTTTAGAGCGCAGCTCTTAGGGACCCGTTTCCGGCTTGAGCGGCGTCGCCGTCGCCGTCGCCGTCGGCGTAACCGCGCGGTGCATCATGGGAGATGTCCCATAATGCACCGCGCGAGCCCCCCCACCGGGGTCACGTGACCTCGTGGGGGGTCACGTGACACCCCCGAGGTCACGTGACCCCCCCCTGAGGTCACGTGACCCCCTCCTCAAGGTCACGACCCCCCCGAGGTCACGTGACTCCCCTGAGGTCACGCGACCCCCTCCTCAAGGTCACGTGACCCCCTCCTCGAGGTCACGTGACCCCCCGAGGTCACGTGACCCCCGCAGATGTCGCGTGACCCCCCGATGACGTCATCGTCACTGATGACGTCACCGGCATCCACATCGTCATCGTCATCATCACTGATGACGTCACCAGCATCCACATCGTCATCGTCATCATCACTGACGACGTCACCGGCATCCACATCGTCATCGTCATCATCACTGATGACGTCACCGGCATCCGCATCGTCATCGTCATCATTACTGATGACGTCACCGGCATCCACATCGTCATCGTCATCATCACTGATAACGTCACCGGCATCCCCATCGTCATCGTCATCATCACTGATGACGTCACCTGCATCCACATCGTCATCGTCATCATCACTGATGACGTCACCGGCATCCGCATCGTCATCGTCATCATCACTGATGACGTCATCTGTCACGTCACTGATGTCGTCACCGGCATCCGCATCGTCATCGTCATCATCACTGATGACGTCATCAGCGACGTCACTGATGACGTCACCGACATTCGCATCGTCATCGTCATCATCACTGGTGAAGCCATCAGTGACGTCACTAATGACGTCATCGGTACCCGCATCGTCATCGTCACGGATGACGTCATCAGTGACGTCAGTGATGACATCATCCGCATTGGGGGTCACGTGACCCCCAAGGTCACGTGACCCCCCCCCCCCTGGTTAGTTTACCCCCCCCCCCCGTGCCCTTCCCTCCTCCTCCTCAAGAGCTGTGCGCTCTAATTCGGCGTTACAGGGAGTTGTAAGCGGCTTTCATTTTTTTTTGTGGCTTCTGCACTTTATATACAAAAAAAAATTCAAGAGCGCGTTTTATTTTATCTAGCCTATTCTCCTTTGTCTTGCGTATCATCAACAAAATTTACGTCTAATTTTCCTCTATTAAAAGAACAGTCACGGCTACCAATCTTTCACAATATGTGTAAATCCAATGAGCCTTAAAAAATAGCCTTTTTTTACACGTCGTAATGGTGCTTTATGTTTATGATATTCTGTTTATCCTTCTTTTTTGTAACGCGCTTTTGGACGTGAAGCTTTGCGATAAATCAACAATTAATTTAAACGTATATAAACTAAAAACAGAAGCTTTTTTATCACTTCGATCAATAACAATCATCTGATGCGGGCGAAACACTAAAATTTATTTTATTTCGTCTTGTTTGCAGCTGTCACAGACTATTAGCAGCTTTGTCTGGAATCTGGCGCTCAGTTTGCTGTTGTTCCTGGTTTGTGAAGCCCCGACTAGGGGCTTGGAGACACTGGTGTTCAAGCCTTCAAGGCGAGCGCGGGATGAACAAGAGAACGGAGACTGCTGCAAGAAGCCGAACGGTGCGCCGCCCTTAAGTAAACCCGGGAGCCGGCAGGTTCCGAAGATTTCGACAAATTCCAAGTCGAACGCTTTTGAGAAGCCCAAGAGTGATGAAGACTCCTGCTGCCATTTGTAACTGCGTTCCAAAATGTCGTTGTCCAGCAGACTTCAATGCCAGAACACTAAGGGGAGGAATCATTATCTGTGCCCCTCGACAGTCATCGTTCATGTAGTACAAAGCCCGCCCATCTTACAGGTTGTGCATCGTGAATGCCTGGTGTAATTCATTTCTGGATGTGTTTTTTTTTCTCAATAAAACAATGTATGTTTATTTAGATACCCTTTTAAATAAAGGGATTTGCTGCCATTTATACTGCGATAATAATGTGGCAAAATGTAAAAGTGCCTTATCTGAAAGGAAAAAGCAAAACACATGCGTTTTCTAGGTATAAAACCTCAGCTTAAAAAAAGTACAAACAACACCACAGAGCTTCGTCGCAGTAGGGCTTATTCGCGGGTGGGAGTCAATATATGCTCATTGAAGTACGAAGAAATAAGAACGAAAATAAAACTGTTCTTTCAATCATTTCTGATCAAACACACTCAGAAATTAGCATTCTAAAGTTCTTCCAAATATGCTAAAAAACAAGCTCCGAAAATGGTTCGTAAATTGCTGCACGTGCAAGAGTACATAGTACAGTTTCTGCCTTTTGTCATTGAACATCCGAATTTAAACAATATAGGTACATTTATATATATAATTACAAAGTACGGAAATATTATGTTAGAATGATGCCAGATCGCTAGGATAGTAAAACTGAAGCGGCTATTATTTTCTCAGTTCTATGGTGGACTGGAAGAGAGCTGTGATTACCGAAGGTAGGAGTCCATTCATTTAAGCTTTGAAGTCGGTGGTATAGCTATGCAAAGCCAAGAATGACTCGCCACCGATGGTTGCCTGCAGATTAGGTAAACCTAGGAATAATAAGCTGCCCACGGTTGCCTGCAGACGAAGTACGCTAGACTAAGTATGACTTGAAACCGACGTTCGTCTGCGGATTCAACATGCTGGACGAGGTGCTACTCGTCACCGACGGTCACTTGCAGACAAAGTATCCTGGAATAAGAATATCCGGGGCTAAGAATCCCTCGCCGCGGACAGTCGCGTGCTACCGCGGGCGGCCGTCGGCGGCAAGTCATACTTTGTCGTGCCGCTTGTGGTCTGTCTCTCTTCGAGGTGTCGAAAAGCAGATCCCATGGTCCGGGGATAAAGTCTAGCCCACCTCCTGTGTGAAAGCCACTGTTTGCGATTGCTTGTGCTTAGTTTTGACGAGGTATGAAGTAGTATGACTAAGTGTGCCTTCTCTATGCTTAGAACTCTTGTGCATTACCCATTTCGGGCTGTGCATGCTTTAGTCCCATTGGACGCACCGCCAATGTGATCAGTTACGCACCGTAACTGATTACGGGCACACTCCAATGTGATGTTTTTGCAGGAAATTGGGCTCATCAACACGATCTGCGTTAAAAAAGAAACACTGAGCGACCTGAAATCTTTAGCCATTTTTCAGCTTTGAAAGAACAAGACTCTTTTCTGGGCTGTGTTAAACATCAGAGGGTTTTAACAAGTTTAGCTGGGATTTCTCAAAAATGATTGACACGCCCCCCCCCCCCTTCCCCCCGTGCCTCTGGCTTCCAAATTGTCTTCAGCATGACCGTCAATTTATTTTCATGCACTGGTGAAGCACTCAACCGCATCTTAGAAAATTCCGTCAAGCTTTTTTTCATCTCTCCGACCTGCAGGTTTAAGCTAGGTCGTTTCCCAAGTAGCTTTGTCACGTGCATTGTACAATCTACTCAAAATGCCAATATGTTCTTAAAGTAAAAAAGAAATATTTCAGATATTAAGCTGCTCCGAAAATCAAACGGACTGACCAAATGACGGGCATCTACCTGGAGCCACGCCAACGAATTCAGATATACACCTTTTGCCCTGACTTTCCTGAAAGTGCAATCGTCTGTTATATATTTATGGCTAATATTAATTGAAAAATGTAACTATGTTTATTACTCATGGAATGGATTCGAAAGTTGCTTGCCCAGCTTCACATAAAAAAACAACCATTTGCGCACAATAAATTTTAACCTCCCATATCCCGGCAGTAAAATAATGGACAAATTTCAAGCAAAGAATTGCATTACACGTGAATTGATAAAGGGGAGAATAAACTTTTTTTTTTACATTTCCGAGGACGAGCGTTGAAACTTCAAAATAAACGACATTATAGCGAGTTACTTTCATAAAAAAAAACAATCAAAACAAAGAATGCGGTAATCAATAATGTTTATTTGATAAGGCTTATTTTAGACTTCACACCAGCAAATAAATAGTTAAGAAACACATTTACAAAACGAAAATGCACGTCAATGTATTGCTGCAAATACACTACAACGGTACTTGTAAGGCACGCACCTGTGAGATACGTAGAAGTTCTTTTATATAAAACTTAGATAAAATATACATATTTTAAAGCAATCTGTTTTAAAGATTCTTTCTATACAGACACTTGGTGTGACGTCTCAATTCCACTTGACGCCAGAGAAATAAAAATTATTATGCCACAGGACGTTTTTCTTCCCTCCAGATATTACCCTTCTCGCAATCGGTACAATGGAATCCAATTATCCCATGCCACAAAATCATCTCTTTGGACTAGAACTCGATGACTACGCTGTGGTGTACCCTTCTCTGTCTGCTGTCAAAGTGAATTTAAACTTCAAAGTTCACGTCAGACCGCTGTAAACTTGAATTTCTTAGAACTGGTCTTGCTGAGGCGGTGCTTTGGTTGGGCTTCTCATTTCCCGATGGGGACCTCTACACTGAGGCCGACGCCTGTCTCAGGCTTCCCGTGGTACTTGTGTCCCTGGAAGCGTCCGAAGTCCTGCGACGCCTCGGCGACTCCAACCACCTTGGCGCCGTTCTTGAAGCGAGCCACGTCGTACTCCGCGCGGACGCCCGCGTTGGCGTTGAAGTTGCGGCGGTTGTTGCCGGTGGCCGAGATGTAGGGCGTGATGCGGTGCTGCAGCGAAGTATCAAGCATAGTGGACTTATAAAATCAAGTCGTGAAATATGAAGTTCAGCTTTCAAAACGCGTACGAGGTGGAATAACAGTTATTTCGCGCAGAAATGATCGATACAAAATACGCTTACACCGATTGAAAGCCAGTTCTCAATCATGTTAGTTATTTTTCGGTGTGTCAAAAGAAGTTCATGAGGCAACATTTGCTGATGTTAGGAAGTGACTAAATATCGCAAGTTAGGAAATTTTATGTAATAAAGTCGCCTATTTACAGAAGCCAAGTACGACTCACAGTGACTAAAATGACCACAAGCAAACTGTGCCACTAGCACAAAAATGTGTGTGTGAGGGGCTGTTGCCTTAAACAAAATCGCACTTTCTAAAAAAAGAATGTTAAATTCCTAATCACGTGGTAGCAATCAAAGGTGCGCTTTAGAGAGTAAGACCACTTACACGAGACGGACCCGGATTAAAGTTGAACTTGTACGGGCGCCGCTGCTTGAGAAAGGAGGTGCAAAAATTGTCATAACTGTGGGGTTGGCAGAATACATTTTCAGTGAGCCAAGCAATAAAGATTAACACTTGATATTAAGTACAAAGTCAAACTTACGCAGAATGCGGAATAAGGGGCAGTTATAAGGAGCTATAATATATTTCCCGTCACATTCAGCTGAAGGTGGTCGCATGCCGTACCCAACGTGACGCAGTAACTTTACACCAACTCAGTGACAACGTCACGTCACATGGCGATGTCATTTGACGTCAGAGTATCGTGCTGTGATGTCACGTGTCCTGACGTCAGGTAAACACGTAACTCATAGTGGCGCCAGCCACTTGACTCTATGATCCATAGTGGCACCAACTACACGATCGTAGTACGTCTGCATTGTACATTTTCCATAACAACTTTCCGTGACCCTCTCGACTTGAAAACCAGACAATCAATGCATTATGATTTAATACGACAACATAAGAAATAGTGAATGATGCAAGTCACAAAGTTCATTTTCGTTCTCTCCTGCTACTATTAGGTCTGGAGCATGATGTCTGAGTATATTAGGTTGTCACTCTATCGATATGATGTTACAAAGACCTCGAAGCTCTTCACAATATACTGCATATATCATTTGACACCGATATATTACTTGATAGTATAGATTTTTTTATCTTGTAAAACAAATGAATATTTTTTCACATTCTTTTTTTCAGAATGTTGGCACTGATTTTATTACACAGAATGCGGACCTTTTTGAATTACAGGAAGTCTTGAAGGAGTTCCTACTATATTTCTTATAGTTATTTTTAATGGTATTGCATTTTTATATGTTAAAAGTTATAAATCAGGCTACGAATGAAGATACAGACATAAAAAGCAACACGAAAAAATGACAGAGGGGGTATGGTAATCAGATAAATATGGCGCCCGAGACCCGCAAAACTTAGCGTGGTTGGCGAAGACAGTATGGCCCAGCCACTTTAACGAACTTTCGACAGACCAATGGTTGCGATACATAATGTGTTAATTGTTACTACCTGGCAGTCTTGTACACGTTAATGAAAAAAAGTAATCGATTCAATTACTATTACTCTTGACTAAAAAGTATTCGATTAGATTACTTGATTACTCGACAGCAACAGTAATTGGACATTACTCTAAGAAGTAACCGTTACTTTTCCGGTTACTTTATTGTATGAAGACTTACATCCTTAGCGCTTGAACTACTTCCAACCTAAATTTCACATTTTCACATGTATTGAAGAAGAAAAAACGGGTTCCCTCTTCGTGGTCGTTGGAACTTCACAATGCGGACACAAGCATAGAATTCATTTGAAGAAGTTTAATGATTTGGGCGTTCGCCAGTTTGGGGGAGGGGGAGGGGGGGCGGAGGAGGTTTAAGCAAGGGTTCTCGCTCAAAGTTTTCGTCGCTCATTTTATTATTCACATTTGGATGAACTCGCATGTTATACAAAAGAGCAGCAGCTCCAGGATTTAACACGGATCATGTGTAGTATCCATTAGCGGAAAAGATGGCCCCGACAACTTCTCACCTCGAAACCTTGCTTGTTACGAAGACCACGTAGGGGAAATAGGGAAATATTCGAACTGGCTTTGTTATATTTTGCATCCGCTTTAGACATTCTTCGGTTCTGATTCTCCTACGGGCTGCGAGTAGGTACCCTAAGCGGGATTTTTTTATTTTTGATTTCTTTGTGTGTGCCTGAGAGGGCTAGTTTGAACGAAGGACTTACAGAGCTACATTCTGCTCCCTCAAACTTCGCCCTGAATGGCCCTCGTCACGCACTGGGGCTTCCCAATCACAGTCCCAGCTCGAAAAAACAAAAACGGGCATTCCACAGAAACTGTACATACAAAAGGGTTGACCTTGTTTCCTACTGCTCCGCGAGAAATTTCCTTTTTTTCCGTTCGAAAAAAGAAGCAAATTTTATTTTTCTCATTTCAGAAAAAAAAAAAAGGTGTGTGCAAGGGGGGGGGGGGGGCGTAGCGTGGAAAAATAATAACGGTTAGAAGTAATTTTTATTACTTCAAAAAGTAATTTTGTAATCAACTGATTACAAAATTACTCTAAAAAGTAATCGATTACAAGTAATTTGATTACTTGTAATGCGCACGGTACAAGTCTGCCACCTGGCCACGCAACATGACGACAACATAGCGCATTTTAGGATAATTATTTTGTTAGAAATAATCAACAGTGGCTGCCGCACTGCTGCCATCAAATGTTTTTTTTTAGTTTGGCATCAATAAATTTAGCATAAAAGTAGAAAGCCTTGGAATTAACATTATGTTTGCCTAAGCGTGTCTTCAAAATTGAGAACAGTCAGTGAATGAATCATTAGGCTTAGCATTATAATTACTACTTCGGTTATGTAAACCAGAACACGCTACATAAAAAATAAAATGGGTACGTGACGTATAAAGGCTATAATTACGCAGCTGACGACAGCAACAACTGGAAAGACAAAACTCAGGGTTATTGAAGATACCACACAAATTCAGCACGTTTATATAACACGCCAAACTTTAGTAAAGAAAAAAAAAGGGTCAAACAGCAGACGCATTTGTGATTTGAATAATTCCATGGTAATTTACAAAGAAACATGCTTCTTTATATAAATAGGAACACCCGATTGATGATGAACAACACTGTGAAGTATGGCAAATCGTCTTTACACTAGCAGTAACCACAGATGTGGTCAACCTGAATTGGAAATAAATTATAGTATAGACTTACAACACCGCAGTGGGAAAAAAACGAAACAAGTCGACATTGGTGGTTTGTTCTCAGTTCAAATCGTTTACGATACAAGACATTGTACATATAATTTTTTTTCTGCGAAACAGCAGCCATTGAATGACAAGGCCAAGGCTCTTGGTACAGACAAAGGTTACTGGTGGTCAAATTGCTTTCTCCTTTACCTATACGATGCACAATACCGTGTTCGCCACCTCTTACTGAATGCTAAGAACAGATATCTTAGAGAGAGCAGGCACAGTCACATTGCAGTGTAAGTTACATTGAAACTGTATACATATACCTCTAAACAATTCAGCGTAAATATAATTTTACGGAATCGCACCAGTTCGATTCTTGGTGGAGCCCGGGACAACCGCTTTTAAATCATCTATACTGAGTTTAATCCCTAAAACATAAAAGCTGGCCGGAAGATTTGAAATCGAAAAATTAGAAATGTCATGCTTGAGAAATATAAGAGAACGCAGTTTAATTGCTAAAGGTAACACAGCTCAAGGGAACGTCGAAATATTGTAATATGTTTCGAGACGACTTTAATTTTTGGTACGTCTCCTTAATTTTACGATTTTGGTAAAACAGGAAACGCCAATCTTCTTGCTACTAAAAAAAAGAAGATCCTGTCACTAAGTAGATCAGTCATTTGTGTGCTTGGATGGTTACCTAGTGTGTGCAGGTTGTTCCCAATTTCAAAGTTCCTGTCAAGGATCGGCATGCTATCCAAGGGGGGACACAAAATTAACCTGAAAAAATGTCTGGAGGCCAGGCTCTTCGTAGTACCAGCTTATTCCCCCGCTAGAAGCGCTTTCGGCACATTCTTTTAAAAAATCGGAGACCGGCTGGCCTGTTTGCCTATATTTTCTCCAACCCCTTCCGAGTCAGTATGCCAACCGGCGTCTTCTGCTAAAGTTCTAGCTGCATGGTGTGATTTTTTCCCCAAACGCTTCGAATTAATTGATTGTCGTTTTCAATGTCTGATATGATGAAACAGCGTGCGGCCGTGGAATTTTGTTTTCTTTTAGGGGAAACGGCGGCGGACACTCTTGTAAACCTTCTGACAGCTTATAAAAATACTTTGACGAAATCGCAGGTCTACCGAGGGGTTTTCCCGCTTCAAATTTCGTTTTGGACGACCCTCACCCTCCTCACCTAATGAAAACATCCGGAAAGTTAGGGCATTGTTTACACCAAGTTTTGTGGGAAAAGGGGGCGGAGGAGGGGGGGATGAAAACATTCTAGAAAGCAAGATGTGCTGTGGATGCGTAAGGTCCTTCATGTCAGACAGTGCAAAAAACGAGGAGTGATTTGGAAGCCCAAGGGGTACGGAACATACAACATGCCGCTAGAAATATAGCAGAGAACGTATGGCCACATACTGACTCGGAAGGGGTGTCGCTAAGCGCTGCTAGCTGCTTAAGCTTGTGTTACAAGCGGCCGCCTTCCAGAAATGTCTTCCTTTTACATATAGATCCCCAAGACCCTAAAATTATTGACAGGTTGTTGTTTTCACTAGAAAAATAAATTACGAATTCCCAATCGCTCATTTCTCCCCAAATGTAGCGCTAGTAGCACGAACTAGATGCGCAACATTTCACAAAAGCCATTAACTTGTTAAAAAGGTATGTGATTTTCTTAAAGTTTCAATGGGCAAATGGCAGCCGATGGATCCTTCTAATGCATTAAGCTGGATGGGCTCCAAGAAAGGGCCCCATTTTATCATTGATATTTTTCGAAAAATCATTTATACCGTTTGAATAAGATAACGTTTAGTTCTGAAACCCTAACGTCACGTCTGGACCTTTAGTGCTACACTTAGCGGATAATGAGCATTCGCCGACGTGTCGTTTATTTTTGCAGTAAACAAACATCCCCTCCGTGCTGTTGCTACCTCCTTCACTTTGGCTTTGTCCTTCGGAACTTCTATCCAGTCCTGAAGTTTGCTTTGAGGGGAAGGGGGTATACACTGTACATAGCGGATACTGTGTAGACGCAACCAGTGGCGTATATAATAAATTTGCTGAGTGATGGACTACCCAATGCGTGATAACGTCAAAGAGTCGCTAATGACTATTAAACATATCTATCTAAATATACGCATTATGCAGGTACCAGATGTCATCACAGCGCAAATAAACCTGTAGTTCTCTAGAGCTTTATAAAACAATTGAAACTTGTCTACCTTAGGACTTCAATCTTTGGTACTATAGATTCAAAAGTACTGCTATCGGACCAATTTTTCCCGAAAGTTGGAGCTGCACTTTCCAGAGGTTAATGAAGTGACGTGGGCACTCTTTGTTAATTCTTCATATTTTCAGTTTCGAAGACTACCTCGGATATGAATAACTATTGTATACATAATAATATCAAGCAACATACACGTGGGACGCCATAGAGACGTACATACGCACCAAGGGCGTCACTATGCTTACTTTGTGAAATGAATGTTGTCACCTTCGTTGGTGACGTTAAAAAATGTCACGAATGGAGGTGACGAGATCAGGAAATATTACATAATTTCACTGTTGCTATATCAGTATGTTTATCAACAAGACACCAAGTATTTGAAAACGAGATACAAGAAAATTATTATCATTTGCTAACGTGACACATGACACCTGACATTATGCTACTGAGTTCTGTAAGTTTACTCTAACAGATAGATTTAAAAACACTCACTCTGTTTGCGAGCGCGGCATTTGAACGAAACAAAAATGGAACTCTACGACACATACACCGTATAAAAATAGAAAAAAAATACGATAAAAAAGTTTTCAACACTTTACAGAGTATTTTAGTTGACTAAACTTATATATACATGACGTACTCACCGGCGAAAAGAGCAAGAAGGCAGAATGCGGCTCGTGACATCGTTGTTGTTTAGATCTTACTGTACTTTCAACCTGCACACTCACTCAGTGCTGGAGAGGAACTGTTCTGCATGTATCTCTCCAGAGAGCTTATATAATGTCCGACGAGAGGTTGCGATCCCCCGTCTTGCCATCGGGAGAAACACCGGTCGCGTCTCCGGTGTCGGAAAGTGCAGCCGGAGGAAAAGCGATTAGACAGCTGCTTCCTCGTTGGCGGCTTGACGAGGAGCGTGGCCGGACGGCCGGTATTCCCTCGGTCTGCCCCCGTGCGTCGCAGACGGACGCGGTTGCATCCGCTGATTTATTGCACCGCAACAACTGGGAAGGAATCTGGCACGCTCCATAGAACGCCAGACAACAATCGTCGTTCGGGGGAGTCAGGGATGATAGGCACGCGTTGTTGCAATTACTTTACGGCGTGACTGAAGAAGAAACAATTGAATATCCAGCTGAGTGAAGGAAAGGCTGCTACGCATAGGTTTAAAGGCATAGTGGTATGGAATCTGCGCCACGCGCTTTAAATTCCACAAGAACGTCGAGGGACATAACCAAAGGTTAACGCCAAAGATAAGTGAAGCAAACTTACAAGATATGACAGGAACATAGGTCTTGGTTGCCTATCGAAATATACATAATCCATAGCCTTTCGTTTTTATTGCAATGTTTTATCCTGCGGCAACCGACGACGGTAATAAGATAGCCGCTGCAGCTCTACCACGCTTATGGTTTGATGTATGCCAAGAATATGATGATAATTTACCTAAATAAACTTGACTTCCAAAATAGTTTAAGAGCGAAAGGTTGGAAAAGAGTCCCTATAAAACTGAATATCCCAAGGCCGCCAATATGATCTCCTGGTTTTTGTTCGTTCGTCTATGCGTAATACGTTTCTTTTTTTTTTTTGGTTCGTAATGCTTATAGACCGACACGCTGTTTACAAACGAGCCCGCATTTGCCCTCACCAGGTGTGGGCACTGCGCGTGCGCAGAAACCGAATTCGCGTGACTTGAAGCGTCTGCGCATGCGCAGTGCCGTCCACAGCGCCACCGCAGCCGCGTGACGTCAGGGCCGCGTTTTGGTCTATAGGGTTGCTAGGCTTGTACGCATTTAATTATTTCTTTATTCGTTGCCCAAAGTGCATTTCGGCACCTTTCTTTCCACCTTTTTTTTGCAGCGTTTGTTTTTTGCTGATGTGCTTTTCAACTGTTCGGTTTGTCCCAATGACCAGTTTTTCTTTTGTATGTCAAACATTCGCTTTATATGGGCTTGCGGAATTACGTGACCGGAGACGGGGCCGGGGGAGGAGGCGGGGTAGAAAAGTTGTCGCCTCATTAGGCATGCCTATGCGTTTGGTGACGGCCCCACAGACAACTGTACTACCTGTCGGTCGTTTAAATAAATATTGCAGACTTGTACCGTACGCATTACAAGTAATCAAATTACTTGTAATCGATTACTTTTTGGAGTAATTTTGTAATCAGTTGATTACTTTTATTAGGCAGTAATCAGAAGAGTAATCTGATTACTTTTTGAAGTAATAAAATTACTTCTAACCGTTACAATTTGTCCACAGGACACCCCCCCCCCCCCCCACCCCGGGCACACGCCTTATTTCTATAAAATGTTAAAAATAAAATTTGCTTTTTTTTCTTCGAACGGAAAAAATAGATTTTTGCGGAGCTGTAGGAAACGAGGTCAATCTCTTTCTATATACAGTTTCTGTGGAATGCCCGTTTTTTTTTTGTTTTTTTTTTTCAGTGTGGATTGGGAATGGGAAGCCCCAGGGAAGCCACAGTGCGTGACAAAGGCCATTCAGGGCGAAGTTTGAGGAAGCAGAATATAGCTTTGTGAGTCCTTTGTTCAAACTAGCCCCCTCACGCACACACACACAGAAATAAGAAAATAAAAAAATCCTGCTTGGGGTACCTACCCGCAGCCCGTAGGAGAACCAGAACCGAAGAATGCCTAAAGCGGATGCAAAATATAACAAAGGCAATTGAAATATTTCCCCATTTTCCCTAAGTGGTCTTTGTGACAAGCAAGGTTTCGAGCTGAGAAGTGGTCGGGGCAATCTCTTCCGCTAATGGATACTACACATGATCCGTTTCAAATCCTGGAGCTGCTGCTCTTTTGTATAACATGCGAGCTCATCCACATGTGAATAATAAATTAGCGACGCAAACTTTGAGCGACAACCCTTGCTCAAGCTTAACAATATCTAGAACCCCCTCCGCTCACTCCCCCCCCCCCCCGCACACACACACACACACACTGGCGAATGCCCAAATCATTAAACGTCTTCAAACGAATTCTATGCTTGTGTCCGCATTGTGAAGGTGCAACGACCACGAAGAGGGAGCCAGTTTTTCTTCTTCAATACTTATGCAAATGTGAAATATAGGTTGGAAGTGGTTCATTGTTATGAGCGCTAAAGATGTGTCTACACACAATAGAGTAATCGGAAAAGTAACGATTACTTCTTTAAGTAATGTCCAATTACTTTTGCCGTCGAGTAATCAAGTAATCTAATCGAATACTTTTTAGCCAAGAGTAATAGTAATTGTAATCGATTACTTTTTTTTAGTAACGTGTACAAGACTGAAATATTGATTTTGATATATGATTTCTTAAAAAAGAAGGAAAGCAACGGGCACTTCACATGGAGATTATTTACTTAATTTGCGGCTGAATCATTTGATCGGTATATTTTCAAGAACTGAAAAATGTGAACACTAGGCAAAAAAGGTTAGCACGTGGCAGTTTTCCAAAAATTCAAAAATTAGTTTAAAGACATGAACCAAAATGTATACAATTAATCCCCCCATTACGTAAAAAACAAAACAAAAAAAAACTACATTTACAAAAAAAACATTCGATAAAACAGTATGTTTGCTTCATACTGATCATTCTTCAATGACCCCTTGATATTCACAGGATGAAATGGTTGATGATGCTTCTAAATAGCAACACAACCAGCAAAATCTTTTTCGGAGCCAAATTATTGCAAAAGAACCGACACTACTGTCGAAGGCGGCCGATTTTATTGGGAAAATGTTTTCAAAAAGAAATGTTCACTGCTAAAGGCTCAGAACATTGTATCCAAACCCTTGCTCATGCGGACGTTTTATGTGCGCGTATAAGTTTAACAGATTTTTAATTCCAAAGCAATTTCCAGCATAAATTGTTTAAAATAATTCTGAGCGATTAATATATATATATATATATATATACATCGGTAATAATAAAGTATTTTGCACTCATAATTTCCAAAATACGGGGTAAAATATTTTGACAGGGAAAGAAACTGAAGTTTAATGTACATATCGCGAAAGAGTTAGCAATGAAAAAAGATATTTTCTAGAATTTTGATTTTACTTCTCAGCAGTAAAGCTGCGCTAAATCTACTTATCGACAAGCATGCAGTGGCTATCTGGGGCATCAACCGGGACATATAGTTGAGTTTTATATTAGTTGGTGCAATTATATCAAATACAAAGAATTTCAGTGTTTTGACAGGCATTTATTGTGCTTTGTGGCAATGATATTTAGTGGTCTTCATACCATTCTATTGCATTTATTGTACGCATGTTTTAACATTCAGAAAAGTATTCGTTAACAAAGGATGAATAAGAATGATACTACTGCGTGCATGACATAGAAGGAACGCGTGTATTAAATAATTTGTCGTTAGTTATTCATACAGCGGGGTGTTAGTCCGCGAGAAAATGGTGACATTGTTACCCGCTGTAAATGAGAAGTTTAACCAGTGCAGTACAGCCGCTTGCACGGGGTCTTTAACGTGCCTCATGAGGTAGTGACACACGACCGCACGCTGGTACGATGCTCATCTCTGCTCTGCAGCCCGACCTTTTCGTCCTCGTGTTCCGAGCTGTTGTCCACTAGTGTCACTGAATACTCTGTCAGTATACCGCATTCCTATTCGCTTAATGTTTTGCCGACAGCAGTCCCACTCTATCCGTTTATGTTTCAATTTCCTGCGGCATCACTGGACGGCAGCAGTCACGTGCTCCGTCCATATCATTATAATTTTTTTCGAATCGCCGCCATGAGCCATCATATTGGGTCTAGCTTGCTTCTGCTGCAACGCACCCGGCCGCTTCTCAGCCACATAGCGTTGAGGCACACGTATTTTCATGGAATCACATCTTAACGTTCCGTATTTTGCGACTTCCTTATGCCTGCTTGCTGTGATTTCAGGCACCGAAACAGGTCCAGAGAACGGCAAAACACTCTCCCACTTCCAGTTAGGAAAGAACGGTAACTTGAAGTGTTTGAGTGTTTGGCTTGCCATTATAAAACGAGAGTTCCAAGCCCACCGCAGGAACCAAGCTTTGTGAGGTGAGTGCATTTCACCGGTCTTCTCCGCGTATTGCTCCTCGCTTCGCAGCCAATCCGGATGCTTGGACTGAGCTTGGCTCGGCACGAAGGGTGCTTGGAAAAACGGCTGTTTCTGAACAAAAAGTATATTCCATGTGCTTTTTATTCAAATTATTTCGCTTCGTACTGAGAGTAAAAAAAAAAAAAAAGTAAGGTATAGCTTTGCAAAGAAATTTCGAAGCACGAATGTCCGGGTAACTCATAAGTCAATCTAAGCAAACCACCTGCCTGTGAATGGACAGGCAGGTGGTTGTCATTTGATTTTTTTATATTTTTTTTTTATTACAAAGGTATTTTCCTGTTTTGTGGTACAAAAACACGAATGAAGCCTTGACAGCACGATCTAAGACGGGCATGTCACTTGATGCCCCGAGTGAATGAGATGTGTCTTGCTGCCAAGATAGAATGAATGATGACACAAACATCCTTGGTGTTTGCGGTTAAGGGAGTCATTGATTTCATGTCATCTCTCCTCTTACAGCATCGTCAGTTCCATTTGTGTGCATTAACCATTTAGAGAGATAGTGTCGACGGCCAACTGCCCTGAGAATTGTAAAGGAGAAATCATTGCTGATCTTCACTCCAAGCAGCATCTGGCCAGCAAAGATAGCATGCAATCGTCAAGCTATTAAATTGCTTGATACTATGTTTCAATCTATCCTGTTCCTGCTCATTGCTCAACATCGTGTATGCAGTTGTAAATAAATCGATTAAATCCTTCTGCATTTATAC